GTGCTAGTATATATTATGTACGGCAAGTTACCAACAACCTTAATACCTACAAAACTCTCGACTGTTCAAGGACACCAACTAACAGTTCAGTAAGTTCGGCAAGCGGGACGTTACAATGACGGTATCGCAAACTCAGAGCGCGGCAAGAAAAGGCGCGCGGAAAGCTAAACGGTAGGATCGATGCTGCTCTTAATATTGGACTTTGTACTAACCCATGCTCTAGGCTTGGCCACAAGCTTGTGAATATTGATTTCGGTAGACATGAGACCAAATTTGCTGTTCACGAAGACCTGCTCTGCTCTAGTTCGAAGTATTTCAAGAGGAAGTTGCAAAAGTCTCGCAAACCCGTTGAAGGCGACCGCTCAGTCTGCACCGAGGATGTCGCCGGCTTCACACAGATCTCGTACTGTAAGGGATGTGGTCAGAACTTCCACACCAAATGCATCGACGACTGGTTACAGCGGGAACGAACGTGTCCGTTATGCCGCTTGGACTGGCCACTGCCACTTCAGCCAACACAAGTGAAAGGTCTGGGTATGCACTGGCATGACTTGCACTTCAACCGATACATACAATGGTTATACATTGGTGATATCACGTCGAAGAAAGATTCACTTGGGGAACTTCTCAGCGCCTGGAGACTGGCAGGATATGTCGAAGATTCCGATTACCTCTTGGACGCCGGTCGGGCCATTATCGAGATCTCTTCAGCCTCTCAGGCGACAATTCCTTGCCAAAAGATCGTCGGCTGGTACGAACCCCACAAGCGAAGGGGATTGAGAAGGCGCAAGTTTCTGGTTGACCTATGCGCTGCCAGACCAAGCCTGGTGAAGCTGACTTCGGAATTGCCAGGGCAATTCCTTCTCGATCTCACACAGAAGTTGCTATCAACTCGGCCGGCCGAAGGAGTGGACTTACATGAAGCTCTGGCTGAGCACCTGTCGCTCAGCGAGGAAGGTCAGGAGAGCTCTGAAGACTGAATCATTTGCGGTCAGTTGGTCATGCCAATGGTATTTGCGAAACGGGAAACATGGGTGAAAGGAAAATGAGATCGGTTGAAAGGAACGCGATATACGGAAGCAATTGCTGGACGGACATGGCTATGATATGTCCGTGCTAGAAGGATTCAGAAGACGGCACTGTCCTTAGGTTGGGCAAATCAACTGCATGCGAGATAAATAGATAGCAGAACAAAAGAAAATGCAAATCACATTGCGCGAAGATGGTCTTCCCACCTATGCCCCGCTACTAATAATGTACAGGTACTCGTGCCATGGAAGCTTTTGATAAGGTATTATTTACCGGCCCTTCTTGACCCATCCTTCAAGATTCTCACGTGTATCAGCCAGCTTGCCCTCGACCATACCAACAGTCCCCTGCGCATGTGCCTTTCCAGTCTCGATGAATTGCGAGATCCTGTTCTTCATCCGGAGATGGGTATCCGCCAGCACGGGGTATTTCTCTTCGTAGGTCCAGATGAGGTCTCCGACGTTCTTGGTGGTGATGGGCAGCACGAACTTTGCAGCGGTGATGCCGACAGCGACGGGGACGGAGGTTCGAAGGAGGATGTTGCGGTTGCGCGTGACGATGGAACCGGCCATGGAGGAGACGAGTACATAGAGTGCGCCGGGGAGGACCTTCTCGCCTGATTCCCTTGGTGGGGCTAATGAGCGGATGGTGCTTGTGAAGGAGTGCTCGAGACGGAGCGTCTCGGTGAGCGCGTTATCGACAGCCTTCTCGCCGCGGACAGCCTGCTCGTACAAAGCCATGCGCGCACGGCCGATCTGGACTGCGAGGCGGTCGGTCGGTGTCGGTCGGTAGCTAGACTCTGGAGATAAAGAGTTCGACGGTTCTGTTAGGGCGGGAGCGGTAGGCGCTGTGGTATCGACGGGCATATCATCGTAGATAGGTTTGCGATCCTACTTTGACGTTAGTATTACGATTAATAGGGGGAACAGAGGGCCCCAAAAAGCTTTGTCGAGCATTTGAGGGCATTCCAACGTACAAAGTGGTCGGCAGGTCGCTCCTCTGCGTATACGGTCCGGGGTGCGAAGATTGCTGCGGCGGAGAGGGCGGCCATGGCGGGGACAGCGGCGCGCTATGCGATGTCAATACACAGTCTGTCATCTCTTGCGGGCTACTCACCTGCCGTAACAGCGGTCTGAAAGCCATGTCGAGCGTGGGGCAGGCGCAATGGGTCGGGTTTGGGAATGTCCAACTGGTGATGTTGAGCTCAGAAGACGCGGAAACGGCCGTGCGAGCGCCGCAAGATTCCCGCCCGTCCTCGGCTTAGCTATGACATCGTTCGTCTCGTCCGACTTCTGCCAGCCCACCCTTCACCCGTGCAACCCAATATGCTCAAGCGCCTCGCTCGCCCAAAGCAGTCGCCATGGGTCTGCCAACAATGTCTGCGCTCCTCCCAACGCCAACGACGCTTCAACTCCACCCTCGCCGCCGCCGCCAAAGCACGCGACACTGCGCCGCCCAACGCTCTCTACGGCCTGTCTGCCAGCGGCAAGACAGATGATGACGCCCTGCGCAAAGTCTTCGACAACGCATCTTTCTGGAATGACTTCAAGCGCGCATCGCAAAAGGGAAAGCCCACGGGAATAATAGGGAACCAATACCTCACCCATCCCCAGGGTTTCGTCGACTTCGTTACCGTAACAATACAACGCTGCAATGCCGTGGTGCAAAAGGTGGCGGCCGCGCAGTCGACGGAGGACTTCAAGCACATGGTCAAAGACCTGGACAAGCTTAGCGATCTACTATGTCGGGTGATAGACTTGGCCGACTTTGTAAGAGGCACGCATCCGGATCGCAAGTTCCAGATGATGGCGATGAAGGCCTATCAGACGGTCTTCCAGTACATGAACCAGCTGAACACCACGCCGGTACTGCACGACCAGCTGAAGAAGGCTTCGGAGATAGCCGAGGTGTACGACACATGGAGCGAGGAGGAGCGCATCGTTGCGCGGATATTGATGGAGGATTTCTCAAGATTTGGCATCGGACTAGACGAAAAGACAAGGGAGCGGCTGGTAGATCTGAGCGGCGAGATTGCAGACGTAGGGAACGAGTTTGTGGAAGGTATGGCGCCAGAGAAACGGGACTTGAGGTTCAAGTCGTCGAAGCTGAGAGGGCTGGACCCAAACCTCGCAAAGGCGCTCACGAAATGGGGTGAGACCAAGATCTCTACCATGCATTCCGAATCGCAAGCGGTTTTACGATTCGTAGACGACGCAGATGTACGGCAAGAGACGTACCAAGCTGTCCGGACAGCCAATAAACCAAGCATCGCGCGACTAGAAAAGCTATTGAAACTGCGAGTGGAATTGGCCCAAACGTCAGGCTACGAGACATTCGCGCACATGACGCTGGAGAATAAGATGGCAAGAACACCAGAAGCGGTCAACACATTTTTAAAAGCACTGTATGAGGACAGCCGGCCGGCTGTTCTCGCTGATCTAGAGGAGTTGATGGAGTTGAAGAGAGGCGACGCCCACCAGGACAACTTCCCCGATCGCATCAACGCCTGGGATAAATTCTATTACACACAGAAGATGCTAGCATCTATGGAGAGCCACTACAGGCAGCGCACGCCTGACTCTCTGTCTGCATACTTTTCCGTTGGCACTGTACTGCAGGGTATATCGCGACTCTTCGACCGACTCTACGGCGTCCGCTTCGTACCCAAAGAGACCCAACCAGGGGAAGTATGGGACGACGGTGTCCGCCGGTTAGACGTCATCTCAGACAGCGAAGGTCACATCGCAGTGCTATACTGCGACTTATACTCCCGACCTGGCAAGACCCCCAACCCAGCACACTTCACCCTCCGCTGCAGCCGCGAAATCCTCCCTTCAGAAATGGAAGAAATGGCCCACATGCCGCACCGCTTCTCCTCTCCCATCGAAGCCGCCACAGACGGCATGCCAGTATTATACAACGCCGAACGAAACAGCTACTTCCAACTCCCCACGATAGCACTAATCTGCGACTTTAGCAAAGCCTCTCACTCCCGCCCCACCCTCCTCAACATCCACGACGTGCGCACTCTCTTCCACGAAATGGGTCACGCATTGCACTCCATCCTCGGTCGCACGGCCCTGCAAAACGTCTCCGGCACCCGCTGCGCAACCGACATTGCCGAGTTACCCTCGGTCCTAATGGAGCACTTCGCCTTCTGCCCCCACGTCCTAGGTCTTTACGCGCGCCACTGGGAAACTGATGCGCCGGTCCCCATGGCCGCTGTCGAAGCTCGACTCGCCATCGATAACCGGAACCAGTACTCTGAACTCGAAAGCCAGATCCTGCTCTGCATGCTCGACCAAGTGTACCACTCCCCCATCGCCGCAGACCCCAACTTCAACTCTACGAAAGTGTACCACGACGTCTATAACAAGTATGCTTCTGTTCCTGAACCTGCTGGTACGGCTTGGCAAGGCTTCTTTGGCCATTTGTTCGGATACGGGGCCACGTATTATTCTTACCTCTTTGACCGTGCGCTAGCAGCGAAGATTTGGAAAGATGTGTTCCAGCATAATGGCCAGGAAGGTAGTTTGGATAGGGAGAATGGGGAGCTTTATAAGAATGAGGTGCTTAAGTGGGGTGGAGGTAGAGATGGATGGCAGTGCTTGGCTGGTGTGCTCAAGGATGAGAGGTTAGCTAAGGGAGGTGAGGAGGCTATGGCCGAGGTGGGGAAATGGGGGATTAGGGAGGCGAGGGGGAAATAGAGTGGTGATTGAGGTCATGTTTATATACGTTTAATGTTGCGACGCATGTATATATGATAGTTAGATGATTAGACGGTAGACGATACGTTCGAACGCGCATGCATTTATATCATAGATGTGGAGTTCTCAAATCAAGCAGAATACCTGCAATATTATCTATCACTTTTGAACAATGTGAATTTGAAATGCTACTTCCTACACCTTCTAGATACTCCTCTCCCCAAAACTTCATGCGGCAAATGCCCTCATCTCACACATCCCCTCCTACCCGCCCATCCCCCTCCCCCGGTCCATAACCCCCGCCTTAATCCTCTCCACAACCTCCCTACCTAACCACCTCAGCTTGCCATTTTGCCGACACGCCGCATCCGCCCACTCAAACACGCCCTTCAACTCCCTCAGCTCTTCAACCTTCCAGCTCTTCGCCAGCCGACCTAGCACCAACCTGGACTCCACAACTGTGGCTCCGGGATCCAACCAGCTCTTACTGTATTGATCGAGTGGCAATATGAGTCCTGCGTCGCTGGCAGATATGAACTGCGATAGCGCGGGGAGGGTGAAGATCCAGTGGAACAGGAGGTTTGCGGTCTTCGATGATTGGGCGTCATTGAGGGCGACGAGAGTAGAACTAAACGCCGTGGCGTACGTATCATGGGCAGATCGACGGCGAACGTTTAGTGTTTGATTGCGCTCGAAAGATTTGAGATGAAGTGGATTGTGTACGAAATCTAAGGTCGTGGGCCAGTATGTCTGATCTGCTGTTTCGAGGCGGCTGATGAGATGGATCTCCGGGAGGAGACAGGGTGCTACTAATGTCTTTGTTTGTGGCTCCTCGTTCCCTTCTTGATTGTTCTTGAAGACGACGTTGATGGGCATGGATATTGCGCGTCCTGTGTCTACGTCCCGCACAACAAGACATCTGGGCTCGGCGGCTAGTACCCAAAAGTGACGGAACGCCTGAAGATGGGCCCGCGAGTCTTGTACGTCGGAGGGAAACAGGGGGTAGAAGGCGCAGATCAGACTGGCAATGGCTTTGTTGCTACGACTGAAGGTCTGTGTGCCACCTGCGATAAACAGAGTGCCGAAGGCCATATGAGCTGCGAGATGAGAGCCGTAGGGGATATCCGGACCAATGCGGCCGTGGAGACCGCGCAAGCGACGGAAGACGTCGAGATCGCCAGTCCCTGCCATGACAGTTGCGGCGGCTAAAGCGATGAGATCTTGACAGTTCCGGACTGTGTTCTTGGAAAGCTTGGAATCATAGCGTATGGCGGGCAGTTTGTTGATACGTATCAGTTGATCCAGATACTTGATCAGGAAGTCGCGGACCTGGATATCCCCCGTACCAGCATGCTTGAGACTCACAGCCCACAGCAGACCTGCGATGATGTTGTAAAAGGGCATTTGCTCGCTACGGAGTCGTGTAATGCCTTTGAGATCCCAGGCTTCGCGATAATCGTACGGCAGATTCTTGATGATCCAGGAGTCCGAAGCCTCGATGGTATCCCACATGATGAGATGTTTTGCGAGGGTGCGGAGGAGGAAAATGTCTGGGCGAACGTAGTCGAACTGGGGCAGCGTATCCGGGATATCTATCTTACGCGCGACGGTCTGGTCGTGGGTCTTCATGAAGATGAGGGCAACGGCGATGACTGCTCCAGCTGTGGCTTGATCGAGGATGTGAACGACGTTGACGGGCTTAGGCGCTACAGCGACTGTCATGAGACGCTCAACAATACGCATATCGTGGAGGCCTCTAAGATCTTTACCCTTGCCCAGGTTGATGAAGCCGAGCGCGAAGCCCGCAGCCAGCCTGTAAGCTTCATCCCGCAAACTATCGGGTGGTTCTGATGGGTCTGGAATCTCAACAAACTCGATCTCTGAAAGCATCACCTCGCTCATGCGACGGTGCTGTGTGTTGTAGTAGAGTAAACCAATGCCCATCAGGCCTGTGGTCTGGGTGTAGGGAGAGAGGTTTAGCTCGGCTGCCCCTTGTGGGAGCATTCTTGTGACATGCACCGATAGCAGTCTTGTAACCAGCGTATCCATGGTACCCATGAATGAGGCGGCCAAGCCCAACAATAAGCCGACCGAAGTCATGGTATGTTTGGGGGTAAGGTACTTGAAAGACAGCCACTTGGCAATCGTTCTCAGATGGCCATTTAGGCCAAGGCCAAGCAACAGTCCAGCGTGCTTGTTCGTCAACTCTGAAGGCTTGTTGTACATGATCCATGACGTGTCGATGCCCTGGGCGTCGCGCGATATGCTGAGACCAGCTGCAGCACCAGCGTTGAAGAATGCCCAAAAGTATTTCTCCTCGGAATAATTCTGCCGTTCTGCAGTGACAACGTTACCCATTGGCTTCATGAGACACGATGTCGAGAAGCCGTATAGCGGGTATTTCTCTGTCAGCAGAGGTTTCTTGCTGCTGAACTTGATCATGGAACTGCCTAACGGCAGAGAGAACGTGCGCACCATGACCCATTGCATAAGTGCTTTCTGTCCCTCAAGCATTGCTGCATCGTCTTGCCGGTTGTCAGCCTTGTACTCTGCGACAGTCTGCCGCAGAGGCTCTAGCAGCGTGTATGCCTCCATGAACCGCCTATCTTCGCGGAAGATGAGTCGCGTGATGTAGTGCCGATCAACTTCAGATGTTGATTGGATTGCTTCCATTCGATCAGCGCCTTGACATATAGTGTGAACGTCTCGTGTTGTGCCAGCTACATGCAGACCCCCGCCTGTTGTGGCCAAGTGGCTATCGTGGGCAAAGTCTGCAACTGGCGTGTGGCTAAGATCCAAGTCTTCGCGCTGGACGAGTCTGAGTAGTGAGCTCGACCATGTAGTAGGTGGATTCGCCTGACATCTGGTAATAGCTTCCATGAGTGGTGCTTTGGCGGCTTCCGGCAACGTGGCTAACAGCTCAGGGCTGATATTGCAGGTCCTGATCAGCTCTACAACCTTCTTAGGGCTCGATGCAGGATCTATGTCGCGGAAGAACCTGTGCAATGCTACAGTCCTGGGCGTTACCCCGGCTATGATCTCGTCGATGTTGATGGACGAGTGTGGAGAGGCTTTGGACTTCCGTATGAGCATCGCTAGTGTGGGGAATGGGGCATAATGCTGGGACCCTGTGACAGTGCTAATCCATTCCATGATTGAGGGAGGTGCATCCCATGGCTGTGCATGCAGCCGAACTTTGCTGATCAATGTGGTTTCGTCATATGCCCAATCCTGACTTGAACCCCCATCAAGATCGAAGAATCCACCCTGTCTCCAATCCCATGCTTCCCAACGAAGCCAGTGCCCAATCTGTGATAACACGGGTGCGAGATTCCCGTGTTGCATATCAGAGAAATCTTGGCATAGGGTGTCAAGCTTGCGCTCTTCACGGAAGAGATGGAGCGACACCACAATTTCAGACAAAGACGATATGCGAAGATCCTGCTTCTCCGAGGGAGACATTCGTCTCCAATGGTCATTGGTGGCTTTGCCGATCGGTGACTGGACATACTGACGAGCAAGTTCGAGGCAAGTTGGTATCATGCCGTTTTTTATGCTGATCTGTTGAGCGATTGTTGGCAACTGGCGCTGCAGTGAGTCACGCTTGGCCGGCGGACTCATCGCCGTCGATGTCGGACTAGAGTGCAACGCCCAGGCCCAGGGAGAGGACCCCCAACTCTTGGCCTGCGGTGTCGACGTCTGGCGATTGCACATAAGACGCCATGCTGAGTCCTCGTCATCAATAAACTCGTCTGGCTTGGCTTGGCTTGCAGGACGCCCAGAACTTCTTCGCTGAGTTGACTTTGCACGAGCGACCGTCTTCCCCTTCTTCTCATCGATGAAGGGTACCGCGAGAGTGAGCAGAGTCGCTACGAAAGCTGTCCAATCAGCACTCACATGCTCCGCTCCCTCATCCGATAGCGATTTGCGAATGTTCCACCAAATCTCCAGTAGGAATTCGCCTGCATAGTTTGGTAGAACCGTTGAAAGCACTCGGAAGAGTTCAGCAACATAGCCATTCGAGGGTGACAGACGCAACACCATCCGATGGCGACGCAGCTCACCGTCATGTAGCTCTAATTTGCCGCTTTTCCCTAATGATGATAGCCCTCGTAACGGCTGACTCGGTTTTATGATACGTCTTGACCCTACCGTTGCTCTGGTTTGATCGCGTTGTATGATGGCATACGGATCAAACATCTTCATGGAGTCCAAGGTGAGCTTCACCGGTAGGTGGCTACCCCAACCTGCAGTCAACGATATACAAGATTCCTGGGGATTTCTTGAATTGAGTTGCGCGATTCGCTCGACATGACCATCACGGACTTTCACAAGATCCAGTGCGTTATCGAGCTGTCGCGAGCTGACAAATTTCGGTACGCAAGCATATCGAGGAGCCGCACTGGACGACCCCGACTGGGTGGCCGATGCGGATGGTGATAGTCTTCTTCGTGAGACTGCGAGCTCACATTCCAGTGGAAGTTGCAGTGACGGATGGGATATGTACAGGTATAGCTTTCTCTCATGAAGGGTTGCTGAATTGAAGGGTGCATTCAGCGTCAGTACCTTTGGCTCATGCCATTCCTACTCAAGCGTTAGTAACGTCATCTTTCTGGGAACGATGCTGACTTGCCTCAGTATTTGAAGGGTTCCCAAGGGCAAAGAGGCCACTTTTGAGGTATTGTGTAACTGGGAGCTCTGCGATGACACTGATGATGAGCTCTTTGTGGAGTCCATCCCCAGGTTGCGGCCCTCCTTTACCATCAGGCGGTGCAAACAGATCATCAAGCTCGTCGTAGTCTTCTATAGTGTCGAATGTATCCTCGTCCATGACATCGTCCAGGGTGTCATCGATCGATACAGCACCTAAGCTCATTCGGGATGTAACGCTACCAGGGGTGGAAGCTCGATTCCGAGATTGTGAGAAGCCACCAAAACTTGTACGATCGTGACCCAGTGAGTGCCTACTTCGCTGACTTGCATTGAAGCTGCCACCAATACTGGTGCGGGACGTTGCCATGTCCTGAAACGCGCTTCTGTCGAAGCTCGTTGAGAGTTCAGCCCGTGACAACAGCGAGCTTACTCGCCTAGACTCCTTTGGCTGGCGGGTGATGTCGGAGTCGGGATTGAGCTGTGAGGCAAGAGCGTCGTCGACTGCTTGGTCAGAGAGACGTTCCTTGGTGATCTTGAAGGATGGGGGCTGAGTCTTGCTGCGTGGAGCACCACCAAAGCTTTCCCTCAATCTGTCAGCTCCACGAATTGCCGGCGTAGTTGCGCCTGTTCCTGGTGCAGTGCCGCCATATGAGCTACGGCGTCGAGACTTGGCTACTGGCAGAGGAATGTGCTGTTTGCGAGAACTTGATATTGATTTTGGCTCAAGATAGGCCGCAGACCAGATGGTAAATACATTAGTCTCGTGGTTTGCTGTGACTACTAGTAGAAGAGGCTTGTCATTACCACTGCGATCGAACAGGATCTCGTTCCGCGGAGACACGTAGATGATCTCCTCAGCTTTGTCAATTGCCTCGAGTCGCCGGTGACCTGAGCCTTGGGAGGTCAAGAAGCTGCTGCGATCACCACCTGCAATAACGCTGACCACCAGTCCCAGCTCCGACAGCGGGTCTGTGAAGGAATATAACCTGGGTATCGACTCTGGATTTAGAGGCGCAATAGGATTGATCAAATCATCAAGAAACGTGTTTGCACCCGACAGGCGAGATTTACCATGTCGCGATGCGCCCATTGAAGAGCCATGCCGCCGGTGGGGTTTATGAAAGCTCTGTGAAAAGGAGAACTGTTGTGAGAGGAAAGACTGGTTGTTCGTGAGGAAGGAATTCTGTGGAGCCGACGGCAGCTGCGGACTGGTGGGCACAGGGTGCAAAGGAGCAAGCTTCCTCTGTAGCACAACACCCCTTGCTGCAGGAAAGGCCTTGTCCACCTCGAAGGGCAGGTTTACAATGTGTGTGCTGCCCGAGAGGAAGAAGACGTGTGCTTGCGACTTTAAGAACACGACGAGAGCACGCGATAGCTTCTCCGCCGTGGGCGTTGTGGGACTGGCTGGCGCAGTGGGATCGGTAGCAGGCTGGGTCCCTTGGGTGAGGAAGCTCTTTGCAGGGTCGGCAGATTTGTGTTCTGACGAGTTGTCGGTAGGCTCGTCGGTGCCATGGGAGGGCTCGTCTACCAAGAACCATGTCAAGAGCGCCTGCTTGACCTTCTCTTTCTCAACCTCGAAGTTGAATATCTTGCGTATGACGCCGCCTCTCGACCAGATCACGTGGTATTCGGTCGTGACGAGCTCGTCGGTGTAGCCATCGAGGCTGTCGTCGGTGTAGGTATCCCAGACATAGTCACGGTCGGTGCTATCGTCGGTCAGGATGGATTCTTGGACCAGATACTGCAGGGCAGAGGGCTTGTGGACCCCGATTGAGCGAAGGGAGGCCATGCGAAAGATTGGCCCGCAACATGAGGGAGGTTCGGGTGGCGGGTGTGCGTCGGGGTGAGAAGGGCGGTTTGTTTGCGCGGGGCGCGCGATCTGAGGTGACGCGCTGCGGTCGAGCGCGACTTCCCCAGGGAAATGTTGACAAACTCCGCAGCACCTCCGAGCTTCCTTCACCCTCACACATCACGTCGCGCCACTCGTGCACCTCTCGTACTGCCAATATAACAATCAGAAACCTTTCAGACGTTCTGATTATAGTTGCGCTTCGGGCAGAAGTCGCATCCTTCGCCCTTTCCTCGTTACCTAGGCGGTAGCCTCGTTCACCACCCTCGAGCTGCAAGCATGGAGCCCATTGTCACGACGCAAGGGAAGCTGACTCAGCTGAGGTATCTTCTCCCCGCGCTGCGCGTCACGCGACTGCTGACATAGCGTCTTATAGGTACGAGCTTCCGCGTCGCGTACACGACTCCACCGTATACCCCGTCAAAGCCCCCAATGGCTCGACCATCGTACTCTACGGCCACGAGACTGGCGTCGGCATTCTCTGGAGAGGCGGACGGCCCTTGAAGAAGACTGCGCCGCCGCCCAAGCAGCCGACGAAGCCAGCGAAAGTCAATGGAACAAGCAAGGATGCCATCATGATCATCGACTCGGACGATGACGAGCCTGCCAAAGCTGCCGCGGAGCCGCTGCCTAAGGCTGAGTTTGAGGATGAAGAAGAAGAGCTCGACCCAGACCAGCCGTATGCCTCGATCGTTCAGCAGCTGTCCCTGTCGCTCAGCACCCAAGTCCTCCACATCGCCGTACCCCAAATACCGAGCGCGTCTACCCTCCGACCCGCAGATACCATACCTCCCATATTCAGTCAAAACATCGTCTTCACTGTCGCATGCGCCGATTCCACCATTCGTGTCATCACGCTGCCTCTGAGCCCTCCTCCACATGTCGCAAAAGACAAGCTGCACAGCGTGAAACCCCAATTCGGCGAGAACATTGTCAAGGTCCACGGTCACCAGAGCATTCCGATGGGTGTTACTATGACTTGGACTGCAAGGGGAGAACCAAGCTCTGCAGAAGATGGGGACGACGACGTGGATATGGACGAAGAGGAAGAAGACACAGCGAACTCCAGGCGCAAACCCCAATCGCGCGCCGACGGCGGCTTCGACATACTTGTGGCATCCCACTCCGCCGAGTTGGGAGGTCTGCTCAAGCTGTTCCGTTTTGAGCTGTCGGAGACGGCACTACAGGTGTCCCATCCTGTCGCGCCTTACAAGACGCTGGCTCTCAGCAAGCCTGCCTCTCGTATCGCTTTCAACACCGCTCAATATCCGAAGCCTCGCCATTCGCAACTACTCATTGCGGACTCAGCAGGTACTACGCGCATCTACGATCCTTTTACATTACCGACCCGTAAACGACGAGGAAGCGGTAGTCGCGCAGAGCCTGGAGCATTCATTGGGACCTTCAGGTCATCCTTCGAGAGCGTCAAGAACGTTGCGCTCACTCCTGCTGTTCTCCCATCGCGTAAAGCTATCATCGACGCAGCGTGGGCTTCCGATGGTCGTCATATAATAGCTCTCCTGGCAGATGGCGAGTGGGGCGTCTGGGATGTCGACCGGTCTGGTCCAAGTCCTCCAGCAGATCCATCGGCATTTTCTCTTCGGGGGTATGTTGGTACAGCCGAGAAAGAAGGAACCTCTGGCGGCGCATCGAGTCCAAAGCGCGGAAGCCGCAATTCACTCGCTCCAATGACACCGAATACTCGAAAGCGGAAAGAGGAAACATTGTTCCAGGGCAGCGCGTCAAGTTCGACAGTAGCAACCAGAGGTGGCGTTTCTGTCGGGAGCATCACGTCGAACAACGGAGTATCGGCAGAGGACTCGGTCCTCATTTGGTACGGGTCCGAGATCCACAGGATAGCAGATCTGATGAAGTTCTGGACTCGCACTGCTTCCGCCAGCAGCGGAGGTTCCTTACCTGGCCCTGGTCTCCAACAACAGGACGTTATACTTTGCGGCGAATCCATCACCTCGGTCTCGCAGTTCGACACCACAGCCCAAGCCTCGCGCATGGCCGTCCCAAGAGACATTCTCATCTCAGCAGAGCACCGCCTCATCATCACCGCCAGCACCAGCCAGCCTCTTGGACGTGATCTAAACGCCATGTTCGCGCGCGAAAAGGTGGAAGACGAAACCTCGACCCGAGCCGACCAGGCTCTCCTCACTCGTGGCGAGCTTGATCTCGGTGGCATGGACAGGATGCTCGAAAGTATGGAAGGCAGCGGAACTAGTGCAGCCGTTTCCAAGAACTTGACCATGGGTGGGCCTCGGAAGGTTCTCTTCGCCTCGTCAGCGGCTTGATCACAAACGACAGTGCAACGACCGATTTACCTTTGAATAAAAGAATGTGCTCCGAATGCACGGAAAGCCGGTACTTGAATACGATATCCCCAAATCATCATCTTGATTATCACAGCCGCCATACATGCGGTAAGCGGTTCCCAGTGCTCCCTAACATGTCTCTTTCCTCTCGTTCGTGTTCTCAAAAAGAAAGCCCAGACCCAAAACATGCTTTCGCGGCCTAAGGTGGAGCTCAGCGACCAGACCCATTCCTGCTGCTCAGTATAGCCTAGCGATACATCAACTACCGTACCGAACCCACAGTCGCCGACAATCGTTCCTTTTACCCCTAGTACCCCTCACAGGCGAAAGGTTCCCGTAATGTAGAAGGTGCCGTCTGTCTTGATAGCTGTGGGCGGTGCGTGCATAATTCCCTCCCAGATTTTCACTCTGAGCTGCTTGTATATCTAGCCGGTCCTTACGGATGTCGGGTGAGGATGGTATGCGATTCTGTGGTGATGAGGCGCGTGGGTGCATGATGTGCGTGTCTGTCATGGATGCGTGCGGTGTAGTGCCTGCGTGTGGGGAAGGGCGTGCAACATCTCTTGACCTTTGTGATTATCGTGATGTCTGCAATGATATTTGATGAGCCAAGTCATCCATTATTCGCTTTCTTCGCGCGCGAAACATATTCGTGCAAGATAAACCGAAATATTATTATTACCCCGACCGTAGCCTCCAACGCCATTGCTAAACAAGATTGATACAACGATGCATGCCTACTCATTCTCGGACCTGGAAGACGTGATAGCAGGCTTTCATGACCACGACCTTACTAAGCGTCGTCCACTACTCTGCCAACAAACCCTTCCAGCCCAGCCATACCCTTGGCACCCCTCTCATTACCCCCGAAAAGCCCTGGCCCACCACCAGGCATGACCAACACCTTGGCACCCATCTCTACGAACTCGCGCGAAGCGATGAATTGGAAGGTCACAATGACCGCACCCTCAGTTGCTGACTTCTCCACCTCGTCGTCAAAGCCGAACCCGAAAGCATCATCGTCTCCATTAATGTTCAGCGCAGGGGCTTCGGTACGTTCAGCAGAAACGGAAAGTACCTTCGATGAAGCTCTGACGCTGGCAATGTAGACGACGACTGCGCTACCGACACCGAGATCCTTGACGCCTTCTGCTTGCCCCTCTTCGAATCGTACTGTAATGACTTTGTGCGCTTTAGGCTCGCGAGCCGCCAGTATCATGCCTTTGCGTATCCTGTTGATCGATGGACTTACAATCGGTGTGTCGACGGGGGCGATACCCATGGTACCAACCTGGCCTGTATGCAACGTCCGCACGGGCAGACGCAGATTGCGTAAAGACGTGATGCGAACACGTCGCCACTCACTGTGTCGGTCGCGCAGTGAAGTGTTCTTCGATTTCGTGCTCAGTGCGCCAGGAAATGACCTCGATTGCGGTATAGAGGGCTTGCGATTTGGTATCGCCCTCCCGCTGTCGCTGTCATCAGAGCTGATATCCACTGGGTAGGGTCCTAGAAGTAGCTCATCGCCAACAGCGATAGACCCGTAGCGAAGATAGCCCCCAATGATGGCAGATCGATCATTTGGTGTATTCGTGCGGACGCTGTAGACGTCTTCGATGTAGAATAGTGGTGAAGTTGATACATCTGCTGATGAGTTCATTTCCGCAGGCATGGGCAGGCGTCGAAGGAATGCATGAAGGTTCCGAATTCCTGTTCCTTTGACCGCACTAGTAAATATTACCGGCACTGCCGCAAATGGCGAGTCGGCATGGGGACTCAGAGCCTCGTCCGTCTTTTCGAGATCGACCCCTTCAATTGTGTGTAGATCGGCTTCTAACACAGATGTAGATGGATCGTGGACAAGAAAAGGTCTCCTCCTGTGGGCTTTCAACACTGTAAACAACTTGGCCATGGAGGCTTTCAAGCCGGCATTAGCCAAATCGAACTTCGTAATGGCAATTACAAGCGGCAATTCCAGGGCGAGACATAACTGAAGGTGTGCACGAGACAGATCCAGATCTGCTGCTGCTGGGCCGAGTATCTCTTCTGCTGAAGGTGATGCTCCGAGCTTGCCTGAAGACTCACTGGTGTTGTCAGCTGGAATGCACAGAAGTGTCCAATGTGGTTGCCTGATGGGTAGGTTAGCAAAGCTCACCACATGATGAGAATAAGGCGCCCAAAAAGAGTATACGTGAAAGAAGGAAGGAAGGAAGAGCTGTTATGTGCAGTGATCACTTACCAGCCAACAATTCCACGGACGGTGGTGCGTCTAAATCGAGGATGACCAGCTGAGTCAGAGAGAAACACAAGTCGGCCGGTTTTTGCTGACTCTACAGCTGCGTGAATGTCAACCCATGAGTCAATGTCCTCAGAGCCATAGTTAGTCACGCGTGACGAGCCTCCTACATCACGGTACCCTATCAACTCCTGAGTGACAGAGCTGGTCATCCCTGATGCGATCTCGTGTCTGTGTTTCAAAAGACTCAGGCGACTCTTTCCTCTGCCATTATCCAGCGTGGCGGTAGAAAGCGTGCCAAGTAGACTAGATTTACCGGACATGGTGGCACCGGTCACTGATACACGCATCTGCTCAGTGACTCCTTTAGACTCGTTGGTCAGAGCCCCAACGTTGCTAGCACCGGAGTTAGACGGAACGTGGGCTGCATCCTGCTCATTCCTCTTCGTATGATCGATCAAGTGCTGTTCTGGGCGGACCAGAGCTTCGGCAACTAGTAGTTGCGATTTTACCACCCTCTGTTGTACTGTGCCAGGATTCTCTATCCACTCGCAGTCGCCCACTGGAACCCTGCGCATAACCTCGATTCCACAGCCTAAGCTTGCAGCCATGGCGCGCAAATTGTTCAGGCTCTCTTCCATCTCGTCTTCTGCCAGACCAACGATAGTTCCGTCGTCCGCGACTCCAATCTCGTAGAGCGCACCACTACTCTCTTCCAATCCCGGCAGCAGACGTTGAGGCATCTCGGGGGCTGACAGACGTGCATCATCGGGGAAGTGAGGTATGACAGGTGCCATGGATGATGACATGTGGTTTGGGCATGACTGCTGTAGGCGCCACAGCAACTGAGTAGTCAGCTGTTCCAGACGATGCTGCTTGGACTGTGTGGAGGCCAAGGGTGGAGGAGTGTTGGCCAGGACGCCGGACTCTGATACGCTGCGACCCGCTGGTATAGGTATTTCTGGTCGACGCATGGACCCAGATATATGGCGTGCGGTACTGGAACGGGTGAATGACCTCCGTCGCCTGAGCAGCAGATGTAGCTTGTACTCCGTAGGCCCATCCTGGGGTTCTGCCTCCAGCCGTGTGATGTGTGTGTAATCTATATCGGTGGGGAGGGATGTTGCATTCGCGCTCGTCTCATCGTCAAGGCCACCGAGAGTCGAAGGAATACGCCGGGGTTTGGTGGTTGGAACCGGGGATCGCGCAACGTCGCCGATGGGTGTGATTGCCCACGGCGACGAAACGCGCGGAGGATCGGGGTCGAAGGTGAATATGGAGGCCATATTGCGTAGTAGAGGTTATGTGTCTTCGTGGTTCTATTCCTCGCGGGAAGGCGCGGTCGGGGTAAGACTGGTCAAGTTGCGTATTGCCGCGTTGCGCTGGTGAGTAAGCGTGGTATTGATCGTGAGTTGGTGTGTAAGAAGTGCGTCCGAAATAATTGCGATAATAAAGGAAGCATCGTGACGGGTGTGTAAGGCAAACGATGAGTGGAACTTCGTCAAGCAATGACTGGAGGCAACTCGTCGACGAGTTGCGTGAGGGTGCCGAGCTGGCGTTCAGAAATTAGAGAGAGACATGAGTGTTGGTAGCTATAGTGATGGTGATGCTCTGAGTGACGGGGAAGCTGCGGTGGCATGAGATGGTCGTCGACTGTTGGAAGTATGGAGGTCGCGACTGCCGTGTTAGTCATTGGTCGTCATTGGTCCTAGCTCTGCGGGGAGTCACCGGTCTGCGGAGCGGCCCTCATCCATCGCTCTCAGCCTCAACACGGATCGCCGCAACAGCAGACGCCCTTTTTCCTGGTGCGATTTACATATCGTATCCGTACTGACCTTGCATTAATCCAAAATCACTGTCGGCTCAAGGCACAGTACTCACTGGTAGGTATCAACACATTCGTTAGCCAACAGCATTAGAAACATCGTGTGGACTGCAGAATGCAAAACCATCTTGCCATACGATCATCTGTTGCGTGAATATCCATGCCTGCATTCAGCAGAGCAAAGTACGAATTTGCTGGTCACGTCTCCAGTCTCGTGGAGACTTTACAAGACTTGGTCCATATCTGCATTCCGCGTTGGTTCTGGAGGGCTTCTTCTATGTATGCTGTTCTGCCAGTTGCATATCAAGAACGATGTCTGGGATCATGTCACATCATAACATACACTGGTCTTATTGCTGACTGATTCCGGCACGGCACGCGTATTCGTATCTGAACGCCAGGCATCGACGGGCTTAGGGCGACGATCGGGTTCAGACACGAGAAGGGCGTAATGTTGGCGCAGGCTGGGTACCCAATAACCTTACCTACATGTGAGTAGGCCGGTAGCAATGACCAGCTCAGCGCATTGCCTACCAGACTAAGAAGGCGTTACGAGATTAAAGATGATGCTGCAGTCGCCAGACAATGTGACACTCTAGCGACTTCGAATCGAAGCACAAAAGACACATGCCGACCAAACCCCAGTGCACGACGGCATCAGAACATCTCGGCGCAGGATTCCGCTAAAGCTCAGCCGGCGGTTGAGGCTGAAATGCTACGAAACAGACACCTAAACGTATATGGGACAATGATATGACCGTATGACAGGCTCGCGTCCACCATCATGAAAGGACTGCTGAAGACCCCTGTTACGGCTGTTGGCCGCCATGTGCGGTTAATCTATTCCCACGCACATGCCGCCGCCTCATTGAAACAGTCCTCCCATCTGGTGGACGGCTCTGACTTTAGCCGGCTTTCTCGAAGGTGACACTGCACGTTTCCCGCAGTAGTGGACACGCGAGCGCTACGAGCCAAACCATTGCCCTGGAGCCCCATGTGTAACCTTGACCATGCACGTCAGCCTTGCACATGCGAGGACCACATGGTTCGAAACTCCGGCTGTTCTCTCTGCGACGGCTCACCACTCGAAGGGGATGCGCGTCAGATGTTGGTGGTTGAGTGCTGCTGGGGATGGCATTCTGATGCTTTCTGTTCGTGTACAAGTTGCGAATGCCTCACTTCTGACAAGCGATGACATATCGCCGACTGCACTGTGGGTAGCCCGCCTAATGGTCATCAGTTGCGGCGCGGTGATCTAGAGGCGCGAGCGCGAGACCAGGTCGGATTCGGGTACGTTGCCGGGTCACTTGCGCGTCTCGATCACATCGTGGAGACGCTCACAGTGCGTGAAATTCCCACGGAAGATCTCTGGATGCACACATGGGCCACAATTTCGTCAAGATCGAACGATACGTACGCAGGTGAGATGTCTATCATTTCTTGGCCACACTGTGCTGCGTTCATCGACTCATGCAGGTGATCTAGAAGGTAGTTTTGCTGTGGGGTGGGGCGGTGTTATGGTCGCCTGAGGAAACATACGATTAGACGCTTTCAGATAGGCAAAGTGGACAAGGGAGGGCTGACGCCCGTCACTGTGCCGCCGGCACTGATGTCCTAGGTTGGTAAACACTCCGGTCATCAACCTCCTAGAGGCAGTTCTGCATCGTTGAGACTCCGTTTAACAAATTGGCGAGCGGTCCGATAGCTCGATCGTTCCAGCCGCGGGCAACACAGACGGCGGAGTGAAGTGATTGAAGCCGCGGCGTTACTTCAAGTCAGCCCGTTCGCCCTAGCGGGTCCTGCATGCCGGATCGTCCATTGCATTACCTTGTAGCTAGCCGCCTGTAGGGTGCTGAGATCTGAGCCAAACACAACGGTTTTCACGTGATGCCGAATGAATGTACTTCGTGCTCCCCTTGTCTCATCCTTGCTAAGTACACTGAGGGATCAAGTGACTGTCATCCTTCCCGCGCAGCCGCGCCCCGCCGGATCATCCTGGCGATTCTCCAAGCTCCATCCACACGTCAGCAAAAGACGTGTCGGGCACGCGCTTGGCTGTGGGGGCGAAGCATGATGGACCGCCGAGGACCCTTTCACGTCATTGTTCCCGGTGCTTGAATTGGACCGAAATCCCGCGTGGTTAGGTACAATCCCTCTCCAAAGCGGTAAGGGGCCAATGAGCAAGGGGTGGTTCCAGCGACTCGGTTCCGACTATACGCTAAGTCTGCCGGGTTTGCAAGGCCAAGCGACAGAGACATGACCTTGCAAATCGGATTTGGGCCACGAGTCTGTCCTAGAGTCGGATGCGTATCATTGTGTTGTGTGTCAGTGCGGGTCCCGCGCCGCAGAGGCAGGGCGAAACATGAATAATGATCTCTATACTCATTTTCCTGATCAGTAATACAGCGTTAGACGCGTTTCTGAGCTGCAGTGGCTGTCTTGGCAGCATGCACGTCGAAGCTTCAATCACACACACTTTGTGCGAGCGACCAGTAAGCCACCGAACGTGTGTTTGATTGCATATTGTACGTTAAAGCCGGAAATATCCACGTCACCGGTGTATCCCAGAGTGGCATATATGCATATGTACGTCTGTAACCCGGTGCTGAAAGCCCATTTACGCGGTTGTCGGTTTCCGAAACAAGGGACCATTCGCATGGCGGATTATTGTTCCGCTGCCCAGTGATGTCAACATGGAGATGAGGAGCGAATGGCCACCAGTATCGTAGCCGCTGTTGTACCGATGGCACGGTTCCTATGAGATACAATTGCCCGGACCACAGTCGTCCACTTGACAACCATTGTCGAATAGTGCGCTGCGCGTTAGTGGCGCCTCTCGGTAGCTTCGGTTCGTTGTTACATGGTTGGTCCTTCTCCACAGCGGTGGGTGCTTTTTACAAGGCTTTTCCCGCACTAAGTCGTGGCGACAACGGCCCGCTAGACTGATCGTTACTCAAAGTTGAGAAAAGCCGTGCGAGGTCAGTCGGCAGCCTGGCTCGCGTGTTTGTGGCTAATGCATGTGAAACCGGCTCGTGATAATTGGTGTGCATCGAGAAGGCATCGAATCGAATTCGGGTAGAGCATCAGTCATGGACATACGGCTCTGTTGTGAAATCAGTCGCAAGTCATGTTTAAGATTACAGTGCTGCAAACCTACTGGAACTACCATACGATCTGATGCTGAATGCTGAATCGTAGAGGTGCTCGGGAAAATTCCCTTCCCAGTCTAAGGTACGAGTTTTCGCACGATTTCGCGCGGCATTGCCGAAGCATGCCGTGCGGGACAGCGTCGGCCATGGTGCTCTGTTCGCTCTTGGACCCTGATAGGGAAGAGGTGCTGACCGATGATTTTGCGTGACCCGTGTGGTCGGATACATCGCAGGGAAAAGCTACAGGGGCACCCTCAACCAGCAGGAACTCCATGTTCCTGCTTTCCTCATTCCTCCAAATCCTCCCGCGATCCCTCGAACGGGTCGGTCAACGCCTTCTTTCGTAATCCAGTCTCATTGGTACGAAGGAGAAGGAGTCCGACGTTGGGTGTGAGGAAATGACATACGCGCTCTTTCAAATAGTTGAGATTGGGATGAGACCGTGTACAGAAGGCCATGTTGTAGCGATTTGGCCAAGTATACGAAGAGATGGTGGTCTTTGCGACCTTGAAGCTGTATATTCGTGGCTTCATTAAGAACAGGCGCTTGCTTGCAAACATTATATACATAGGAACTGATGACTGTTGAGCGATTCGCTGGAAGCCTGGTGCTCAAACACTAATGTCACGAAATGTGACGGAGCCGGGACTGTGTACAAGTCTAAAGCGTACGAGACAAGTCGTAGCTACGATTCCTGCGGCGTAAAAGTGTGCCCTTTGGAAGCTTCGGGTGTCCTGCGGGCCAAATTCCGATTTGGGAAGCGGCACACAATGGTATGGTCGCCAGCTGGCATGCTTCCACCTGTGCGTGTCGATGCTGCACGATATCGAGGCGAAGCCTAATGTCTTTAGCCAGACCGTGACACTTGGTGCTCGGGTATTACACTTAGTTCAACCAGCACCTTCTTTGGTTGTCCTTGAACTGGATAGTTCTAGATCGATCGAGCGATGAGATACAGGATTCATCTACCCACTCGTTTCAGACGCTCTTCTTGGCTTGCACTTATCGTGCGCCATGTGCCCGTTTCTTGCAGTAGTCCGCGTGAATTCGGCTCCACACCTAGGGCATGAGCTTTTCGAGGCGGTCCCTGACTTCTCTCGTTGATGTCGTAAAAGGTTACTGAACGTAGAGAACTGCCGTCCGTTACACCCATGCTCCCAGCATTGGGGCTTCGGTCTAGAGTTCACAACACGTGGCTGCATTGCACTGCCCTGCGTACTTGGAGATGAAGATAGCGCAGGTACTGGACCACCAGCCGGCGGGCCACTCTGCGAAGACTCGTACGATGGATACGCGGCAGGTGTCGTAGAAC